TATACCATATTTATGGATTGGAAGACTTAATATTGTTGTACTCTCAGTACTGTCCAAAGCAATGTACAAATTCAATGCAGTTCCTATCAAAACTTTAACACCCTTCTTTGCAAAAAAGACCACGCCAATTCTCAGATTCATATAGATTTTCAAGGGATCCCAAATAACCAAACAATCTTGAAAAGGAAGATCAAAGTAGGAAGATTCACATGTCAATTTCAAGACACTATAAAACTACAGCAATGAAGACAATGTGGATCGAGTATATGAATTGATATACAGACCAACCGAATAGAATTCGTAGTTCAGAAATAAGCTCATACATTTTTGACCAGTTGATTTTCAGCAAGGATAGCAAATCTATTCAATGGAAGAGAATTGTCTCTTAAATAAAACAGTGTTGAGACAACTGCAAAATAATGGAGTTGGACCTCTTCCTCACCCTGTAGACTAAAATTATCTCAAAATGGAACAACTGCTTCAATAAAAGAACTGAAATAATAGAATTGTTAGACAAAAACATAGGAGTAAAACTTTAGGATCTTTGTGCAATGAGTTCTTTAAAATAACACTAAAATCCTGAACAATAAAAGACAAGAGATAAACTGGATTTCATTAAAATGCAACATTTTTGTGCTTAAAAAGGACTTTATAAAAAAAACAAACACACTGCAATCCTAGGTATTTACTCAAAATACATGAAGCAGAGACTCAAGACGGGTTTGTACACCAATATTCATTGCAGCATTCATTATTCCCTATAACTAAAAGGGTGAAACAGCTCCTGTACTCATCAACAGATGAATGAATAAAAAAATGTAGCACCTGCATAGAGAGAGAAATGACATGGATGAATCATGAGAACATGCTAAGTGAAATAAATCAGATCCTTACAATGTATCACCTACTTAGATGAAATGTCTACAATAGGCAAGTAGACACAGATAAAATCCATTAGTCTTTACTGCGAGGAGGGAGGATAGGTATTCAGTTTTGTTTGAGCTCATAAAAAGACTGGGCAGTGATAGTTGCAAAGGTTGTACAACATGGTGAATATTTTGATGGAATGTCACTGACTTCTATTCCTAAAATGGTTTAAGTGACAATACTTGTTATATACATTTTACCATGATAACTTCTTTTTGCAAAATTCATTTTCTCGTTAAGACTAGCTACTTTTCAAGTGCTCAGCAGCACAGTTGATGAGCCCCTTGGCCCCAAAGTTCTAGCAGCTCTGACACAGTTGATGCTGCGGAGCCTCCAGTGAGATCTTGCTGAGACTGCCTTCTTGCTTACTCTCTTCTCGCTCTCTGTTCTGCTTGTCCAGCTTATTTCTCCTGACAGCCTTCATTTTTCATGTGCACCAGAATCCCTGGTTTGTTTTTCAGGAACTGCGCCTAAGATAACAGGGACGTGAATGGCCCTGTGGTCAGCCAGTGAGCATTGTAGAGTTGATGAGGGATCGTATCATGTCGTTACAGTGGGACACTTTATCATTTGATCTCCCTTGTAACACATTTTAAAGTTGTTTCACTTTTAATATCTTCTGCTTTCTTTTCAACTGAGACTTTTCTCTGTTTGATTTTGTCATTGTTTGGTTTTTTGTTTGTTTCTTGCTTTTGTTTTGTGTGGTTTCCTGTATATGAAATCCATGATAGGTGAATCTATTGAGACAGTAACTGGATTATAAATACCTAGGAACATGGCAGGGGAGGTTGGAGGGAAATGGGGAGCTAACAGAATGAGAAAGAAAAAAATCCTCTGAAATTGATTGTGGTGATGATTGTACAACTCTTCGTAATATCGTATGAATCCTGGTGGCATAATGGTTATGTGTTGGGCTTTGATCCCCATGGTCAACAGTTTGAAACCACCAGCAGCTATGTGGGAGAAAGACTGGGCTTTTTACTCACGTAAATAGTGTCTCAGAAACCCATAGTGGGTCACTGAGTCAGCAGTGACGCGATGGCAGTGAGTCTTAATATGATTGGATTATTAAAGTGCCTGGTGAATTATATGCCAATACAATTATTCAAAAAGATAATACTGTAAAGCATTAACATACCAGCGTGAAAAATCATATAGGAAGCAGTCTGCTTTCCGATTTATTTTGAAATAAGTGTAGTAGAAGAACACTGTCACAAAGTGTCTACCAGATGTCCTAGCATATAAAAAGACATGCCAATCAGTAGTAGCCGCGATGAAGATCATGGTGATGGTGGGAACATCACGTCCAGCTCAGAAATTCCTTATAGACTCAGTGATAGTTTAGAGACATATAAATTGGGTCATACTTAGCTCGTTTACTTATTTTCCCACTGTTTGGTTTTCTTTCTTTCTTTTTTAAACAAGAATTTCTTCTGATTTTTCTCCCACCTGTCCAAATCTCAATTGTTTTTAGGGTTCATTTACATTGTATCTCCTCTGATACATATTTTTTAAGTATGTCAACACAATGGGCCAACATATAAAAGTAAGATTTGTCATACTGTTATCAGACTTCTGGTGTATCTCAATCCTGTCAAATACATGAAGTAGAGGAGTTTACACATTTGCAGTCATCAGTAGGCATCTGCGGGGAATTGGTTCAAGACCACTTTGGATATCAAAATTCATGGGTGCTTAAGACTCATATATGAAGCACGGTACCTTACACATGAAACGAATGGAGAAGAACTTCCCAAGACACAACATATCTGTCACTATCACCAGATGGCCAAACTATCCCAGGATTAAGGCCAGATACATTTCTAGGTCCTCACGATCATACATCAAAACCAACCTAGTCATATTTAATATCCCACCACACAGGAAAACAGAACAATGAATACCGTTCCCTTCCAAGAAAATTAGTTAAAGTTGTAATCATGATTTACTAAGGTAAAAGCCACCTTGGTGATAATGGTATAGGCTGGAGTAATGTTTGCAAACATTCTGTTGTGCAAGAAGTGCAGCTAACAACAAGTTAACAATTGCTCAACATGTTTTTAGAACTCCAATTTTGAAGCAGTCTTTCAGACCTTTTAGTTTTACTTTGTAGCCTGAAGATGATTCTTCGTTAATTTATTCTGTCATTCATTTTGAAATTTTGTGTTTAATTTTTGCTAAATCTGGGGATGAAGGTAATCCCTTAGTTATCTGAAAAAAGCAGTAAGGTATGGATATAAATAATTTGATATTGACACATAGGTGCATGAGTAATGCCCCCCGCGTGCGCACACACACATCACCACCACCACCACCACCACCACCACCACCACCACCACCAAAACGGTTTTAGTACAATGTCTGTAATTAATACATGGATTACTAAGTGTAAAATGAACCTTTGGCTGTAAGAGTTCCAATATGCTAAATCAGATTACTTTATTATTATGTAACTCTTTTTTTTGTCTTTAAGAATATTTGCTTATTAATTACATTGAGCTGAAAACATTTGTCTAATAATTTTCTTTGTCCAAATGAACTGACTCCTCCAATTAGGAAAAAAAGACTCATATGTAAATGACATGGTGTGTGCATATAACTGACACAATTTTCCTGCATACTTTAAGACATCTTGAGATTTCATAAAATAGCTAATAAAAAGTAAACACTACCCTGAAACCCAGACAAACGCAACGCTGGCATCCAGTCTATTCTGACTCCAGGCAACCCTGTAGGCAGAGCAGAGCTGCTCCTTCGGTTCCCCGAGACTGTAATCTTTACGGGAACAGACCGACGCTTTCATCTTTCTCTGGAGCAATGGCTGGCGGGTTGGAACTGCCAACCTTGAGATGAGCAGTCAACACTTCCTCAGCATTGCCACCAGGTCTCCTTTTCTTCAAGATAAAAAAATTAAACTCACTACCATTGACTCGATGCCAACTTACCTCGACCCCATAGGACAGAGCAAAACTGCCTCTGTGGGTTCCCAAGACTGTAACTCTTTACAGGAGTAGAAAGCCTCATCTTTTTCCTGGAACAGCTGATAGTTTCGAACAGCTCACCTTAGAGTTAGGACTCTTTATGTGTAAGCGTATGCCTTGGTTAGCTAGTGTTACTGTAACTGAAATACCACACGAGGATGGCCTTAACAACAGACATTTATTCTCCTACCATTCAGGAGGCTAGAAATCCAAACAGAAGTACTGACTGTAGGAGGGGATTTATCTCTCTCTGTTGGAATTTGGGACAGGTCCTTGTTGCCTTTCAGCAATCCTTAGAGACCTCCATATATCTTTCTTGTCATCAATCTTACCCTTGGTTTAGGAGTTTCTCAAATCTAAAGGACTCCACTGCTGGTGGTAATAGATCTCTCTCTCTCTCTCTCTCTCTCTCTCTCTCTCTCTCTCTCTCTCTCTCTCTCTCTCTCTCTCTCTCTCTCTCTCTCTCTTTCAGCCTCCCACCCCCCACACCAGCTTCTCTCTCTTATTATCTCTTGTAAAATACAATGTATTACTGACCACACATACCTCAGGGTACCTCTCCTTATATCAGATCCATTCTCTAATTGTATTAGGGATGTTGCATCCCACTCTTAATTCTCTCACAACTGATTGGTATAAACATCAGATGCTATCATGAGGGATCCTTACATAACTACCAACTGACTGAGAATCATGACCCTGTCAAGTTGATCCATATTTTGAGAAATTTTATCCGTAATAGTGTACATAAAATATTTATTCTTAGCACAATACCTTAGATGCGTCAGCCATCCATACATTGACCATTCTTTTTTTTTTTTAATCAATTTATTGGGGCTCATAAAATTCATCACAATACATAGATCCATTGTGTAGAGCACATCTATACATTTGTTGCCCTCATCATTCCCAGACCATTCTTTTATAATTTGTTTCCAGCATATTTTGTCTTACTATTATATGATATCTATTATTAATTGCATTTAATATATTCCAAATCTTTCAACTTTACCAACATTTTATTTTTTGTAAGGTACAAAATACACAAAAGGTTTAGTGTAGATCATTTTAATTTTCATTTCCCCCCTTTAGATTATAGACACAATGATCGAGATCTTCAGAGCTCCACATTGTCAGTGCCAGAACAAGTAATGTCATCAAACCATTGTTCACCTTCAGGGTCTCCCCATCGAGTAGATGCCATAGGAAGGACTAGATCATGGTCTCCCAGTGTCCTTCCTCCACAAAGGTAAGATGACATTTACATTTTATGTGTACCACAGCCCTCATTGCTGCAAATGATCATTAATCTTCTCTAACAATAAGCTATTACACAGTAAAACTACTTAAACAACAAAATTTATATTCTAAAACCTGGGTAATGAAAATAGTATGAAAAGTGGATTACTTTGTAATTTTGGATGCTCATCATGTTATTTTATTGTAATGGTGTGAATCATTGAAAAGAAACAGCTTTTAGTTATATGTTAATATTAAGCAAATATCGCTAGAACTAATCTAATCATATCTAATACACATATTGACCATTTTCTTTACAAATAGAAATACTTGATGTGCCTTTTTTATCTTAAAAATTTGGAATAACCATTAGAAGAATGAAAAGATTCATGAACAGTGAGAGAAATTGTGTTAGTCCGGGTCGACTAGAGAAACAATCCAGAGACACCCATATATATGTAAAAGAGAACTTTATATAAAAGAGCAATTGTATATTGAGAAAACACCCGAGTCCAGGTCAAGTCCTGAAGTTCCACATTAGCCCATATGTCCTATACTAGTCCACAAATTCCTCTTTGAACTCACGCAGCACATGCAGTGATGCCGAATGCAGGAAGCTTACAGGCCAGTGGGTGGAAAGTCTTGTGGATCCAGTGACAGTGGAAGCATCTCAGCACTGGGGCTGGTCTCCATGTGTCTCCTCCAGCCGAGGGTCTCAACAGCTGGAAAGGGAAGACTGAGACTGTGTCCTTCCTCCACGGAGGAAGACCAGAGTTCCCAGAATCCTCAGGAGAAGGCCATGATCACACAGTGGCATTATTAACTAAGACCTGATTGACAGGCTAGACTCCACCCATTCGCTCAAGTGGACAGGATATTATGTAACTGCCACACAGTTGGCTTGAAAATTCTGTCTGGTGGAGATTGCTTACCAACACAGATAGGTGCAGAGAGTCTTCTTGGAGTAAGAACTATCAAAATAATATATTGAAACAAGTAAGAAATATGTGCATAATTTATATTTTTCATGCTTGCAGAGTTTAATATAATTTGGGTTTATCATTCCTATTTTAAGTGACTAATTTGTTTAGACTTAGAAGTTTTAATTATAAGTTTCCTAGTTTTATGTAGAGCTAAGAAGTTTTTATTTTCATAAATGCATACTTAAAGTATTTTATTTAGAAGGAAAGCAAGCACTGGAAGAATTTACCTAATTTGGACAATTGAAGAGATTAAAAAGAAAATATAATATTAAGTTTATAATCCCTGCTTCAAATATCAGAAATGGTTGAATTAACTACATTCATAAATGAGACCAGAATTATTTACTCTTCTGAGACGTGATTGCTAAAATGAGACACATATAATCTGAAATTAACAGCATAAGACATAGGTTTTAAATTTACTATTTTATTAAATTTAACCCTTGCCCATTAAAAATTAAAAGTGGAAGAATGTTGGACCTCTAATCAAGGAAAGAAATTTTGAATACATAATAAAAGATAGGCATAGGCTTTAGATTATATTCACAAGATTATAATAGCCCTATCACAAGAGCTGTACCATAAAAGATTATTCTGTCATGAAAATGAAGGGTGGAAGGAGGCAGGCCAGAAATGGTAGCTCGAAGACATCATCATTGATTAATTAATTATAGAGGACGCTATTAGATCTTAAAAAGCAATGGACAATTACCATCCACTAAACAAGATTCACTAATGTATTGTGAAAAACAAATGCTTCAAAGCAAACAGAGTGAAAAAACCAGAAGAAAGAAGAAGAATAGAATAAAGTAAGCCAGCCCTGCCGCCCTAGAGTTAATTCCGCCTCAATACAGACCATGAGAGACAGGCTGGAACTGCCTGCCAGGTTTCCCAGGCTGGAATCTTCACAGAAAACGGCCATATCTTTTTCCTGGGGAGCATCGGTACATTCGAACCACTGACTTCCAGTTAGCAGCTTATTGTTTCAACCACCACGCCAACAGAGTTCCGTAAGTGTAGAAAAGGCCTGTAGGAGCTGAAAGAAAAATGGGATCACAGTTTTGATTGGAAATTAAAAATTGAATCCAATGTCAAAAATGTCATCAGGAACAAAGAAGCTACTTTATTCTAGGAAAACAATGAAGACTACATCTTAAAGGTCCACCAATCGAATTAGACACTTTGTGCGTCACCCAAAGGAATCTGGACAAGATGATAAGCTTACCTACATGGACAAGTCAAGATCGTCAACGTACTCTCAGTCTTAATATGGAAGTTCTGTCAAATTCTTGACCATAAGATTAATACTAATAAAATGAATAACAAAGAATTAGAAAACAGAATATGAAACAAAGCACAAATAATGTACTTATAAGCACAAATAACACTTATAAGCAGCACAAATAATGAAGTTTCTAACAATCGCATTAGAAATTCACATGGTCTTTATGAGAAAACGGAAAATTGTTAGGCGAGGAATAATGAGATCTGTGAGGCGGCACTGGCTGTGTGGTAGTGGGTTTGGTTTTGAAGAAATAATAAAGTTATCAATTCTTCCCAAGTAACCTATGACTTAATACTAAATCAATCAGAATTCTAACATAGATATTTATAAATTGGGCAATATCATTCTGAATTATATGGAAATATAATTAAATTATCTTGAAAAAGAAAGCATAAATTTACTACCACATCGTAATCATAAAAAAACAGAATGAAACTTGAACAGTAACAACAAAATATATCTATTGAACAAATAGAGAGCACAGTATATACATAAGTATATTGGTAGTTATAGTTGTAAATGTGGATTCCTGCTGTATACTTCTTAGAACATTCCATGGGATGATCTTTCTTAACTTCTCAAGGGCTGATGTTTTGACAGTGGATGAAGCAAGAAACTCCTTAGGCAGCTCTTACCACAATACATATAGGCAGGGGGATGGTACTTTGGAGTTGGGTGCTGTACTAACGAGGGAGATGCTGAGAATGGACAGACTTTGAGTTACTCTCTTGAGCTCTGAATTTATGCCCAACCATGTATGAGGCATCTCTACCTCTATTCCTGTAGGCCGCATACACAAACATGTCCAATACTGGTCTCACTTCCTCCACGTAGAGCTAGTCCTCCGTATACCACTGAGATTAACACTATCCTATGCCCAACCTACAAGCCTGAATGTCACCCATTAATAGCTTTGATATTCCTTATCTCTAACCCCTTTGACATTCGATTACTTTGGACTCCTTACATGTCTTGTCTTTTAGGATAGTTTAGCTCTCTGCCAATTTAACTCCTACAATTACCTGAGCTTCCAATGGAAATATGTATCTCTTTACCTAGGTATGCAATTAGTTAAAAAAAAAAATAAAACCTTGTACTTGGTATTACAGTATCTCTATTAATAAACTTCATGGTGTAATATATTATGTTTCACCAAGGTATTTAATGAGTCTTGCTATTGTAATAGGAATGTGGAACAACGGCTTCGAGGGACAGTCTCCTCTACTGGACATTATAATACAATTAGTCGAATGGATAGACATCGTGTCGTGGATGATCATTATTCTCCAGATAGGGACAGGTAAATATGGCTAAATACTATGAGACTCCATTATAATCACTGCCTTCAGAAGGTGTTTCCATAAAATATCCTCATCCTGAACACAGGCATGCTTTCATCTGAGGTTTTCAAATTGTATTTTCCCATTTCGATGAACATGTTCATTAAGATGACCATTACATCCCTCAAAAGAGGGGGAGGGGCAGTTGTTTCTTCTGGTAAGAAAAAACCAGAATCATCTTGCTTATAATTTTTGGTGTTGTTAAAGAAAATCAGCAAAGTTGGGTTAAATAAAATCAACTAAGCTAATGAATGTGCATAATAGTTATAATAAAAACAAGATGTTTCATTTTCCTCAGCCTGTCATAACCATACACACACACATGTACTTTCATGAGGAAATAACTTTAAAAGTCTTTTACGTTTATCGGACACTCAATGTGACTATACATTGCTAGATATATACGTATATTAAAAACAGTGTTGTTTGGTGGCTTGTCTAGGAAATAGTTCACCAGAATTCTTGAAAAGGTTTTTCTTCGTGCCTGTATTTAGAAGAAGTGTATGTAGAAGAAGTGTCGATTTATGTTTTTCAGGACACTCACACTCTCAGGAGTAACTTGCACTATGCTTCAGTTAATCATTGGGTAAATTGATCAACCCTTCTAATTCATGTTTGTCCTTACATGAAATGCATACTATTATATTTACCCCAAACTATCAGAGTTGAGATAACATTTAGAAAAGAAAACGGAATTCACTATTCAGAGAATATTATGGTACAATAATGGGGAGCTCAGAGTTTTTTTGTATGCATCCTAAAGCAACTCTGGTAAAATGATTAGGGGGTTGTTGTTTTTTAAATCAATTGATAGGAGTAAGAAGTTGCTTTCAATGTTTATACATTTAATTGTTTTGTCTAAATCTAGAATTTTTGTTTGAATACATTTCTCCAAAAGAAGACTAAGAAATTAGTGCCTTGTGGCAACCTATGTACAAATATGCTTGATACAATTGAGTTAGGAATGTTATAAGAGCCCCCAATAAGATGATTTTTAAAAAAAGAAAGAAATGGGTGCCTTAAGTGTTGGCTTTCTGTGCCTGACAGCTAACGGAAACTAGAAGACATCCAGCGTCGATAGTGAAGGGAGGGTGACTTTGTGGCACCAGTGGGAGTTGGAAAGAATCACACTCCAGGGTGGATGAATCAGTATTTGAGTTATCTACTATGAGTATAGTTGGCTTGATTATTTCTAGAAAGTATATAGCAAGTTGTACACTCTTTTCATTGAAGTCTGGATAAGGAAAATGGTGTGCGAGAAAGCTCTGAAGTGATGTGCCATTTAGTTTCGTAGATATTTCCCCTGAAATAACAGAAATACACCAAAGCAGCAGACAACAGGATAAAATTAATTGTACTTCTTACATATCCCATATAAGAAAAATTCACATATCTTTTATCGGTATTTTAAGGAAAAAGGGCTCAAGGATTAACAGCAACAAAATTTGCTATTAAATCCTTGATGACTAATGCTTGGTATAGTCCTTAACTCTGAAATAGCTCCTTTTCTTTTTCTTGTTTACGTTGTAATACAGGTATTCTTCTAGCTTAGCAAAAATGCTCAAACTTGTCTTTATATGTCTTGGGGACTTGAGAGGCACATGATCTCATTACTTTTTTAGAGTGATATTGATTCTAGTTCATAAATAGTTGCTCCTAATTATTACTTCCCTTAATTTTTAAAAATAAGTGAAGTAAAATCATATTGAAATAATAATACAAATCCATTTCTTATATGTTATTTTTGAATTATGTAATAGTTATCCATTCACATAAGGAAACAGCTATTTTTAAGTACAGTGTGATCAATCGAGGTAGCCTATCACATTATTAAACAGTGAGTTTTCCATAGTACCCATCTGTAGGCACTGTAAAACCTGGTTACTGCTTAGAAGCAGGAATACTTTAAAACATTTACAGTGAATTTTACTGAACAGCTTTATGCATAGTCAATTCATATTATAGATTGAAAAATCTAAAAAAATTTCCTTTGAGCTACAGGTATGGTTTAGGCATTTTGTAAAGTGTGCTGGCCTTTCTGGTCAGTAAGAAGTGACCCACCGGACTCGAATGCTATTTTGCTGGATATGCCTTTTCTCTGGAGCCGAGGCTTTTACAGCCAAATGGCTTGGAGTTTGAGTCAGTGTTTTGTCATTTGCTAATTTCAACTTCTTTGACACTTGATTTTCTTTATCTAGAAAGTTGGAATATAAGTGCCAACTTTATGAGTTGATGTGTGGTTTAAATTAAAGTCTCCAGGGTATAGTATGTCCTCAGACAATATGCGTTACCCTTAACATTTTAAAAGGATCTTTTGGTTTGCATATGATTCACATTTTTTAAGGTGCATATCAAATAAGGTGAAGAACTGCGCACTCAGCTAATGTAGGAGACTTTGGACCTCGACGACTGGCCAAGTATAAGAGCAGAGATCTAGAGACAGAACATACCTTCACATTAGAAAGCTCCATTATGAGGAATGAAGGATTGGGGCATGTGTTGAAAAGTTTGTGCATGAAGACAATGATTTTTATCATGGCTAAACTAAGTGGTAAATGAGATTTCACATTAGTTTCTAGCACCTGGTTAAATTTAAGTTGCATAAGGAGTAAATACAATACTTGTGTCCTTTTCTTATAGCTAGTATAAGAGGATTATATATAAAATTTTAGTTAGACCTTTGTTTCTCAGAATAATAGCTCGCTTTATTATTCTTAGTCAAAAATCTAGTTTTACTTTGAAAAAAATAAATCACTTCATTGCAAGTAATTCCAATGTAGATATTAGCCAATATAATGATGAACTGTGATGGAGATTTTTGTTTTCCTGGCTCCTCCTCGCACCTCTGTATCATTTTTATTTTTTTCTGGGAAAAGGCTAGTTAGTTTCTCAGACCATGTGACTTTAATTAGAAATCATTCCAATAGATTTTATTTGCATAAATTAATTTGATATTGGAATGATATCTTAATCTCATATGAAATGTCCTACAGGATGCACTTTTGTATATGTGACTTGGTGGAGAAGACTTCTAGCATATTAAGAATATAATTAATCCCAGAAGAAGAGAAATGATAAACTCCTCTGTACATTCCGTTGGTACATTTTTATCTTAAAAAGAAAGTATTCCATGAGAGGAGCTTCTGTGATAGATAGTACACGCATGTCCTTTCTCTGCTGTTCATGAAACAATCAACTGACAAAAAGTATAAAACATACTCATAACTATTGCAGGCAGAAGATTATTCTCTTGACTCCTTCCGCTATCAACTCTGAAAGATACACATCTCTGAAACGTTAAAATTACAGTGAAAGCAGATTTGGAAAGAGGGCTCACTTTGCAAAGCAATGCATTTTATTACATTTCAGGAACATGTTTTAAGATAGTTAAAAATATTTGCGTGTTTTCTAGAAACTGAAAGATAACATCAACAATACCAAAGACACTGAGCAGGAAAAAAATGGATTAATTTGAGGTTGGACTTAGGTTTGGGGTCTACAGATTTGCTTTAAGAATGGAGTATTTTCTGATTAAAGTTTTATAAAAGGAACATACAGATTACTTTAATAATATAGAAGAATAATTGATTATGAATGATATTGTGCTGTCTTCAAAATTTATATTTTGTAAACATTTTAGTGGGTCTAGAAAGTGGATTATTAATCTAGATTACTTTTTAAAATAAGAATATTTCTTCATTCCTAGAATCTGGAACTTCTTGCATCTCTCTATGTCATTTAAAAATTTTTAGTACATTTGTTGATTTTCCTTTTTTGTATTGAATTATTGCTTAGTTAAAAACTATTTCAGACAGATTTGATTATATAACTTATTTTATTTGCTCAACTCAACATTATTCAGTGTTTATACAGTATTCGCTAGTGTGAGCAGCAAGTAAACCGTAGAGGAACATACTGGGGAGAGATGGAATCTACTGAAGCTGTGCTCACTGGGGATAGCAAAGAACTTGGTTGAATCTGTGGACTTTGGTTGGATTTCAGAGGTCCATTGTTTACTGAAATATTATTACTCATCTTATATAGTATCACTTGGCACTTTTTAAAAGTTTGCAAAAGATTTCAAAGGAAATCATGACCAAATAATCTTAATAAGATTAAGAGCCCTGACATGGCTATAGACATTAGAAAGAAAATAAAGCAATGAAATTGATACTTGATGAAGATAATTCTTGCTTAATGTTTTCTTTGGCTTTATAGGGACAATATTAATTATAAAGCTTTAGGTTTAATATTAATTATAAAATTCAGAAAACTTTGTACATTGATTAATTTACAAATTGGTTTTACAAATTTTTAAGTTTCCACAGCTTTGAAAGTTACTCATGCTCTGTTACTCAAGTAATTTTCAGAGAAATGTATTTCTTTTTTATGCACCAAATTCTAACATCACAATTGGTTGATATTATTTCCCCTCTTTGTAAAGCCAACAATGAGATTTGGGGCACTCTATTTCCTTACTTGCTTAGAATCATCTGTGGTTTGTATATCTAGACTACCTCTATGATTATGTGAAGCACTGCTCTTTGGGGAATATAGTTATCATGAAATAGATATAATTCTGTTTTTATTTTTTATCTCTAGTCAAAATATATTTATTGTGTCAGCCATCATATGCAAAGATTATTTTAAAATCACATTTACCTAGTATAGATATAAAGATAATCTTATGTGAACTAATTATAAAAGTAGTATCGTAATATTATGAGAACAGATTAGAGAGAACATTATTCTTAAGTCTATTCAAGGCTCCATAGCGGGAAGTATGACTTGGATGGGTGAGTAGGATTTTGAAAGGGAAGGCAGTAAAAGGCATCCTTGGAAGAATGATGAGTTGAACAAAGTCTTAAATAATGCATTTATTTAATTTGTAATTTGGTGTGCCGAGATAGAAGGTGGTGCATGGGAAAGGAGAATTGACAAGAGGTGAAGATTGACATTAGATTGGAACCTAATTTTCTAGCCATTTTAAAGAATTTGTGTTGCGTTGTTGTTAATTGGGAGCTATTGAAGGTTTTGAGCAAGGTGTCTACATGATCAGAAATTGCATGATCAGAAATTGCAAACTATTTCTATAGACAGGGTTTGGAATGGATTTGGCCAGGGGAGACTGGGATGTGAAGGTAGGGAGGACTCTTGGCAAAGCTTGGTGATGGACTGAAGCCAGGTGGTGGCAGGAGAAAAGAACAGAAGGGACAAATTTGAGTTATTGTGAGAATGAGAACCAGCAGAGAATATTAATCAGTTGAATGTCGAAAATAAGAAAAAAGAGGAGTTAGTTAAAGAAAACTCTGAAAATTTCAATCCTGGTTCATTAGATAACTATTTCAATCATTAGTAGAACCTGGAATGATAAGAAAAGGCATCATTGATGTTCCACAAGGGGTATGTTTGTAACTAGAAAGGACACTGAAACACCCCTTGCCATTCTAGTGGTAGCCCTCTAGAACAATGGTGAGGCCTTTCAGGAAGCAGGCTGCCACAGCTTCCTCCCCTGGAGCACCTGGGGGGTTGCACCACAGAGTGTTTAAACACTGCATTACCAGGGCCCCGAACCGGTCATGAGAGCTAGGTCCTAGAGCTCAGTATGTGTCTCGCTCCCTCTGTAGCTAGACTCTCTTCTCTGTATTAGTTTTACATGAAATTTGTTTGAGAACAGAAAGTGGCCTGCCCTAAACAGACATTTTTGAAAACCACTGTTCCAGCCCCCAAATAGCAAGTACAGTGTTGAAGGCCTCACAGCATGTGTTGTTCCCAGGGGGCTGCATGACCCTCAGGAAGCCAGGTGAGAAAACCAATAACCCACACCAAAGGTGTCAGGCGACTCGAGGAAAATCAAGGTTAAAGCAAGGTGCTACTAAACATTTTTAAAGAAATTTAAGAGAACTAATAGAATTAGTCAGAAAAAAAGTGTGTTCGACTGTAAAGAGGTTTGAGGAACAATTCTTGGGAAAGGGGACCCAGTCAGACACACAGGTAAGAGTTCAGGCCATGTATGTATATATAAATTCACATTCCTACTCACTTTGGTAGGAATAGCTAATATGAAAACGTTTATCAGGCCATTTTATATAATCAAAAGTTACTCTCCAAACTTATTGGTTAAAATTTCTTTCTCCCAAGCCTTTCTCGAACCCATTCTAATAAGCCTCTCTCACCACCAGTTTATAGTTCATATTGAAAAGGCTTATGAAGCATTATGTGAGAATCACAGGTCAAAAATTGTTTTTGTCTCGACCACACCTCTGTCAGGGATTACCTTGACCTTCATCAGATGATTGAGGATACCTTGGGGGAAAAGGTCCTGTTGGCCTTCACACATCTGGTAGATTGTGGCACTGGGGCTGAACCTATATATTCTGATCCCAGAATACTGTCTTGGCTCTCTCTGTTGCCTCTATCTTAGCAGTGCTGCATGATCGTTCTTTCCCTTTAAATTTGGGTTTGATTGGTGTAACTGGTGAAGAGCCTGGGTTTGCGATTAAGTGCCCACAGCTTCTGTTTCTGCAATGTCTGAGAGCTGTTATAAGAAGTCAGTGGGATAAAACAGATGAAGCCTTTAAAGGAGGGCTCTGCACATGAAGAGAACAAACTCACTGCCATCCAGTCTGGGCTGACTCATAGTTGACCCCCTGTGGGTTTCTGAGACAGTAACTTGAAAGCCCAGTCTTTCTCCTGTGGAGCCGCCCATGGTGGTTTTCAGCTGCATAACCAGGGCACCACATAGCAAGTGTTAAAAAAATGCCATTTTTAAAAGCCAGAAAACAAAGAGAGCAGAGGCTTTAGAAAATAGGGGTTAAAAAAATGGCCAAGTCTAATACCACAGATAAGTGTAGTATGATAAAGATCAAGAAAAGATGAAAAGGAATTTGTAGAAGTTAACAGATAGCATCACAGGATGACTCCAAACGCATGATAGAGGTAGAAATCCAGGGGTAGCCAGACAGTATTAGGCACGGATGAAGTGAGGGGGTCTTGGCAGTTACTGTTGATTCTGAGAAAGGAAAGTGGGTGAGTTGACGTCTAGAGAGAAATGCAAGCTTGGCAAAAATGTAACTGAGAAAGGGAAGGCAAGAGAGAATAATGAATGAAGCAAGGTCACGAACAATGAAGCAAGGTTACGTGGCAGGCATGATTACAAGTGGAGGCATTTATTCCTTTAATGAAGAAGAAGAGAGCAAATGAAAACAAACAGACAGTCGTCCCCCCTACTCTGTAGGGGATACATCCCAAGACCCCCCAGTAGATGTCTCAGACTTCAGATAGTAGCTAACTCTAGATCAACCATGTTTTGTCCTATATGTACACGTATGTATGATCAAATTAAGTCTTCATCATAAATTAGGCACCACAACAAACCTACTGCCACCTGGTCAGTTCCGACGCAGAGTGACCCTACCTCTGTAAGTCTTGATAAGCTAGTAGACAACAGCTTTTACCCACTGAGCAGCTGATAGGTTGGATCTTGCCAGCCTTGCAGTTAGCAGCCCCAAACATATCCAACAATGACACCAGAGTTCCTGGCAGTGCCACCAGAACTCCTTAAATTAGGCACAGTCAAAGACTAATAATAATAACAAATGAATGGGGAGCGTATAGTGCCGGTAACTAAATTCAGGTCCCAGGCAGGATGGATTGGGATGGTGGGAGGCATGCTATTTCTGCAGGTACTCGGCAATTTCAGAGTGTGATTGACCATAGGCAACAGAAATAGGAAAACTTTGGATCGGGGAGGACAATTGTATTTACTCTCTGCGGGTGTGGAAGTGACAGAGTTCGAAGCTAACTACTATTTTTTACTGAAACAACGATTATCTATTAGAATTAAGTGTTTTGTTATTGAAAAAAACAGAAGAAAGTCAGTTCATTTATATACTGTGTAATTTAAATGGAAATTAGTGCTATAGCAAGAATAGTCAACTACAAATGGGTTCAGCTCTGGGGCTGTTCTGTGAATTATGGTAGTCATGATAGAATGGATAATAAAGTTAATAACCAGTTAAAAAACCAGTTTGTTCTTTATTAAGTGGAAGTTTTATTGTCCCTGCTAATAATTTTTAATGGTTATTGATTGATAGAGAAAAATTTACCTCAAAATATCTTCTAATTATTTTAGGTATTGGAATTTACTTCGGTTACTATTTTTTTCTCAAGATTTCTGGTCATTCTTTTTTTTTCTCCTCGTATTGAGAAGAATCTCTGTTGTCTAACATTTTCTAGATGGCGCTGAAGATGTGAGACTGATCATTGAAAAAGATATTTTTTTGAGATATGATTTTATTTTAATCTCAATTGGTTGTACTTCTGTTGCATTTTATTTGAAAATATGTTTAAGCCTTAGCAACTGCCATTTTATAATGGGCATTGGCAAGAAGAGGCAGGCTTTTCAGTAACAATTTTCATTTGCTTTGCTTATTATCTGCTTATCTATTTTTAATCTCACCTTTAAAAAATTAAACTCTACCTTTTCATTTCTTTCCTGAATCTCTTTTATACCCTTGTTTCTGCCACGCTTGCAGTCATTTTCTTACTCTACCTCGCTCCAGATACGGGCAGACCATTGAGCATCATCCCAGGGATGGCAGGTATCTTTTCTTACGATTGCGTCTGTTCCTAGAGCTGCATGTGCTTGTCTACTGATGTGATATAATTCACTTATAGTTCTGTTATGCATATATCTATATATATACACCGGTGTATATATATATCAATAAAATATAGACATATTAATTACCTTTATGAAATAGTGGGAAATAAAACATGTCTAATCATTCTAGTAGGATGGTAAAAATACAGTTGTGGGGTTTTCTTTGATGCGTTACTGCTGTCCAAGAGAATTAGTTCATTCGTATTTACATTAACTTTTTATAATCCAGAAGGATAGAATAATGGGAGTCTTTTAAAAAAGTAATCACTTTTAACTTCCTACCATCTTCAGCAGTGTTCCCAATTAGATACTTAGACATCCTTGGTAGATTTGTATTTCTGCCGCCCACTCTTCAGTGCGGGAGTCTTGTCAGTGATGTGCTTAGGTGTACTGAGCAGCCTGTGGTTTCCTTGTCAAAGTTGTCTGTGCTCCATCTACTCCTTAGAGGAACCTAGAGTTATGGAGAATTTATGGAGTCTGCGGGGAGGTCTTTGTTCATGTGTAGTCTGCCGCCAAACCGCTTTTCCGAGTGAGACTGCACAGAACCAAAGACAGTGCGGCCGGAATACTCTGAGGAAATATAATTGCTCTCTTGAGGAAAATACAGTTATTTGACATTTAGCAGATGATGGAAGGTATTAGGAAGAGAGGAAAAAGTAGGTATCCAAAGTTCCTAATATTTTCGTGAAGGATTTGAGCTAGTCAAGTGACAAAAATCTGTGGCTTTGGAGCTGATAAGAAAATGCCAATGGTAACGTGGTGGTGGGCTCCACTGGTACAGATAATAAATTTATGTGCCTTATGTACTACTTCCTATTTTTGTTTCAAAGTGCTTTGGCTTGATCTGTAACCTCCTTTATATCCCCATTAATTTAGTTGGTGAAGAATTGATAATAAAAGAGTTTAGAAGAATAAAATTAGCAATTCAATTCTAAGGGTTGAGTTCATATTGATAAGTATGGAAAGCAACATTAAAAGATAACACCAACAATTTCCTAGTTCATGTTTTGAAATGTCTCTTAGTAAATCTAACTGAAATGTTGTGCCTACCAATTTAATTATTTGATAGTGGGTTTTTGCTAACTTTAAGTTTCTTTAGCATTTTATCAGTATCTTTGTTGTCTCACTTCAATTCTAAATAATATTTACTTTATTTTGGTTTGTTCCTATCTTTAAAGCATTGCTGTGTATTACATTCAGACTCGCTCTGTATTCTTGTCTGAGTTACTATACATGTAGGTTCCAGAAATATGAAGAATTAGATAACTCTATCCCGATTATTGGACACAGTTTTTATCAGTATGGGTACCATGAATGATGATATGCTTATTCTTATTCCTGTATTGTCTGCATTTCAACTTAAAGTAAAATCATGTGCCACATTATCTTGGGAAAAGAGGGGAGATAGGTATAAGGACTCAGTACATTCAAGGATCAGCTATCAATAAATATGCATCACTTTATTCTTTCATGAACTTTTAGTCAATTCTTTATAGGCTCCAAAATGAATATCAATTTAATATGCTGACCCAAATTTTCAAATTCAACCTAAATGGCCAATTTTGAAGGGGCATATTTCTGAATTATCTTTCTGTGCTAATATTTAGTTTGTACTTAGGAAACCCAAGGTCACTAATATTAATATTACATAAAACATGAGGAAGTCTGTATGAGAAGATAAGTTATATAATCTCTTACTATAAGCTTTGCTATCACTAAATGATTCAGATTTATGAATCTAATGTTTGCATACTCCTAGACAATTGCATAGAATTTATAGGAATAATGTTTTTCATATAATATATATCCTTTGATCATGATGGTTTCAATGCATAGAAAATAATGTGTGTAAATAACACATATTTGTTATGTGTAATAACAAAATGAACAGCTGTTAATCTACTGGTGTGAGTGACTTAACATTTAGCTCCCCAAAGTATGAAAAGTAGTTGGATAACTATATCCTGGTAATTGCTCATAACTCTGCTCAGTCATGAATGAGATAAACGTCACAACTGTGGAGTCGATTTCAATTCAGAGTGACCCTATAGGACAGAGTAGAACCACTCCTGTGAGTTTCTGAGACTCTAACTCATTACGGGAGTTGTTTGTTGTTGTTAGTTGCCATGGAGTGGACCATAACCCATAGCAACCCTGTGAATAACAGGATGCATTACTCCTTGATCCTGTGCTATCCTTAAAATTATTTGTTCCTCTGTCATCCTTAAAATTGTCCCTGTGCCTGAGTCCAGTGCTGCAGCCATGGCGTCAGTCCATCTCTGAGGGCCGTCCTCTCCTTCGGTGTCCTTTTACCTTACCAAGTTTGATGTCTTTCTCCAGGGACTCGTTTCTCTTGACAGCACTTCCAAAGTATGTAAGACACATTCTTACCATCCGTGCTTCCAAGGAGCACGCTGGCAGTACTTCTTCCAAGACAGAAAGTCTGTCCTTTTAGCAGTCCATGGTACTTGCAATATTCCTCTCCAGCACCACCATGCAAACACTTCTATTCTTCTGCAGTCTTCTTTATTCAGCACCCAACTTCACATGCATATAATGCACCTTGATCCTCAAAGTAGCATCCTTAATCCTCGGTATTTGTCTTAGTCTGGGTAGACTAGAGAAACAAGTCCTCGGACACAAATATGTGTGTAAGAAACAGATTTATATACAAGAGCAATTGAACATTGAGAAAACGTCCCAGCCCAGTCCAGATCAGGCCCATAAGTCCGATATTAGCCCATATGTCTGATACAAAAATCTAAAGTCCTCTTCAGACTCACGAAACAAATGCAATGAAGCCAAATGCAGGACAATCACAAGCCAGTGGGTAGAAAATCTTAGGGTTTAGTGGCATTGTAAGTATCTCAGTGCTGGTAGGGGTCTCTCTGTGGCTTCTCCGGCTTCCGAGGTCTGGTTGTGTCCATGTGGCTTGTCTTCTGCAATGTTGCTTAAGGAGTGGCAGAGAGAGAGAGAGGTGTTTTCTCCAAGGAGGTAGTACCAGATTTCCCAGAATTCTCAGGAGAAGGCCATGCCCATACAGGAAAGGCTCATTGGCTATCTCCAGATTGACAGCCTAGACTCCACCCCTACACTCTTAATCCTTAAATTGACACCAGATTAGGTGACGACTACAATATTCTAAAGAGGTCTTGTGCAGCAGATTTATCAATGTAATACATCTTTTGATCTGTTGACTGCTGTTTCCATGTGAGTCCAAGCAAGACAAAATCCTTGACAACTTCAACCTTTTCTCCATTGATCATGATCTTACCTACTGGTCCAGTTAGAAGGATTTTGGTGTTCCTCATATTGAGTTATAATCCATACTGAAGACTACAATCCTTTATCTTCATCAGCAGGTGCTTCAAGTCCTCCTCACTTTCAGCAAGCAGGGTTGTGTCATCTGCATGCTGTAGGCTGTTAATAAGCCTTTTTCCAATCCTGAAGCCACACGCTGCTTCCTATCATTCAGCTTCTCTGATTTGCTCAGCATATAGATTGAACGAGTACGGTGAGCGAACACAACCCTGTTACACACCTTTCCTGATTTAAACCAGGAGGTATTCCCTTGTTCTGTTCACACAACTGCCTCTAGATCCAGGTACATGTTCCCCATCAGCATAATGAAGTGTTCTGGAATTCCCACTCCTTACAAGGTTATCCACAGTTTATTATGGTCCACACACTTGAATGCCTTTGCATAGGCAATTGAACACAAGTAAGCATCTTTCTGATATTCTATGCTTTGAGCCAAGGTCCACCTGACATCAGCAATGATATCTCTTGTTCCATGTTTTTTTCTGAATCCAGTCTGAACTTCTTGAAGTTTCCTCTCAATGTACTGCTACAATCTTTGTTGGATGATCGTCCAGAAAATTTTACTTGCTTACTGTCTGCAGTTAGAGCATTCTGTTGGGTCACCTTTCTCTAGAATGAGCACATATATGGATCTCTTCCAGTCAGTTGGCCAAAGAGTTGTCTTGCAAATTTCCTGGCATAGACAAGTACGTGCTTCCAATGCTTCATTAGCTTGCTGAAACATTTCTATTAGTTTCCCATCAATCCTGAAACCATATTTTTGACTGAAGCATTCCGTCTCTCTTGAACTTCAGCACCCTTGGTTCTTGCTCATATGCTACCTCCTAAACTCATGGAATATCAACTAGTTCTTTTGGTACAATGACTGTGTATTCGTTCCATCTTTTCTTGATGCTTCCTGCATGATTCAATGACAATAGTCATTGTACTAAAAGAACTAGTTGATATTTTGCCTCCAAAATCTGTTAAGATTGTAACTCCCCAGCATCTTGAACCAGCTGGGTGCAGACAGCCTGACTAGCCTAAGGAGACTGGCTGAAGCACTGCCAAAACAGTCTGTGGATGGAAAGGCCCCACTTGCTACGGGAGAAGATGATGATGATGATGAGGTTCCAGATCTTGTGGGGAACTTTGATGAGGCATCCAAGAATGAGGCTAACTGATTTGAGTCGGCTTCTGGGGAAGATGAAACTTGAGGAAGTGACTTGGAGCTGCTATTTTATATGATGACTGCTTTTTAAATTTGTTTTGTGTATGGATCTGATAAAATCTAGATCTCTAATATTTTTAAGCCCAAGCCTTTCGGACTTCGCAGCTCTTTTACGTTTTTGCTCATACATGATTCATTCTTTGCAGCCAGATACGCTGAAGAAGCCTGGGAATAAAATTTGAAACAGGTTAATAAAAGTCTTTGCCTAGTAAAAAAAAAAGAAAAAAGATTGTAACTCGAGATTTGAATTTTTTCTTGAGTTCTTTCAGTGTCAGATATGCTGAGCGTGTTCTTCCCTTCTGTTTTCTAATTCTAGGTCTTACACATTTCATTATAATATTTGGCTTTGCTTTTTTGAATTTTTCTATTCAGCTCTTTGACTTCATCATTTCTTCCATTTGCTTTAG